TTTTTTTTTTTTTTTTTTTTTTTTTTTTTTTCTGTGACAAAAAGTTCAAAACTTTGTTCTTTTTTCTAACAGGGTACAAACCATATGTTGTTACAGAAATACAGATTATACATCTATTATCTATTTATTATATATCCATTTTTATTTTTTTGTATTTTGTTTTTCTTTTTTTCCTTTATTGAAAAAAAAAAAAATATTTTTTTTTCTTTATCTTTTTAATAAGATCCAAAATATTAAATTAAAGTTGACCGAAATAATTTCCGGATACTGAAATTTCTATCTTTGGACAACTTTGAATGTAATGAAATTGGGATCAACACCGATAATAATGAAATAATGAAATATTTATAATATTTATAATTATTTTTGTGGTTCAAGTGCCAAACAAAGTTTTCTTGGTGCTCAAACAAGGTTAAAGTTTTTAGTAGTGAAGTAGTGAAGTAGTGAAGGTACTATTATTATTGTTATTATTATTACTATTATTATTGTTGTTGTTGTTATTATTATTACTATTATTATTATTATTATTATTACTATTATTATGTCATTTTTTTGGATATTGTCATCTCAATTTATTTTAATTTATTTAATTTAATTAATACAATCCTTATTATAATACTACTGACTACTGTACTTCCCTTGATACAAAGAAAATCCTGTTAATCCGGATTAAATTATCCCCCCCCCCCTTTCGAATGAGTTGTTTGAATTAGCCGTGAAACATGTGATTTTTATTTTTTTTTATTCATGTAATCTCAAAAATAATTCAGCTGATTTTCGGAAATGATTATGCTCGTGAATATTGTCATTTATTGACATTTATTGATATTCTGTCAACAAATATATTGAATTTCTTCTTATATTATAATACGCGCGATTTTCGCGTCAATTTTCAGCCTAGTTGCATATTTCATATTTTTGTGTGTCATCCAATATTCTGGTAAAATTAAATGAAAACATTTATGTCATTTATGCTACTTTACTTACTACTGTGTTACAAAGAGATAATAATCATTTTAAAAATCATTTTTCTTGTTTTGCTAATGATTAAATGCTTCATGCATGGTTTTCTTTTGAAAGATATCTATTTTACCTTAAATGTATAACCTTAAACATTTTCTTTATGTATAATAATCTAATAAAAATTTCATATTACAATGATTTTCTAACAATTTTTTGTGATACGCGTAAAACCTTTTTTTGATTATGTTGGGGTAATTTTAACCTTATTTGGTTATGATGTATTATGTTTCCAGTTTTCCTCATGTTATTACTCTAATTATGTTGTAGTTTAAAATTCCTTATTATAGAATATGTTAAAAACTTCGCCCATAACTTTAAAAAAATTTTTTTTTTTTTATCAAATATTAAGAAAACCAATGATTTAATCTTAATAAACCGTAAAAATATCTTAAATATCGTGACTTGTTTGTTACACGTCAATTCTCTTTTTAATAATAATAATGATAATAAAAATAATAAATAAATAAGGAAGAGTGATTGTATAATAAGATACCATTCATTTTAAAGTTTTGTTCATTTTTTTTTACAATCTAGAAATCTTGTATCTTTTTAAGATTATATCAATAAAAAATTTAACAATTGTTAAAATAAATCTTTTCCATTAAAGTATTCATTCATTTATTATAATTCAATCGATGATTCACATTAAAGTGATTAAACCTTATGCATAAATAAAAAATCAAAATCACGTGACACGTGATAATATACTTTATTTTGGTTTCACTAGTCAAAGAATGTATATTGGGATAATAATAATAACTATTGGGATAACTAGTTCGGGTCCTCAAAGTTCATGAACTTACGATTTGAGTAATATAATTTTTTAATATAAAATATGTTATAATTTATTGAACTAATGATTATAATATACTAAATATACTAACTGGGAAAGTATTCTTAACAATAATGACTTATACTAAATGAGCAAGCACCATGCTCAATAGAATTTGAGAGGTTTCGTCATATACATCTCAATAGGATTGAGAGAGTTTCGCCATATTTTCTACATGGTACCAATACCATAACATACTCGAGAAGGGTTCGTCATATTTTTCTACATGGTATCATTCATACCATGACTTCATTGCTCAATAGGATTGAAAAGGTTCGCCATATTTTTCTACATGGTATCATACCATACTCATACCATTGACTTCGTTACTATATGGTATATGGTATATCCATGACTTCATCATCTTTATCATTCTATTAACTAACTAATTTTCTCGACTATCCCGAATTAAGGTTATTGATTTACCCAATTTCCGACTAAATCCGGCTAAATCCGGAATATGAATGCCCAGGATTACCCAGGATTATCGGGATTAGTCGGATTGTGGATCGAAATCAAAGGGTTTAAACTTAAAAAGAAAATATATTTCCTCAATAAATATAGTCTAAAAGAATATTTAAAGATGAAAACAAAAATAGAAATTTGATTTTAACAAAATTTGGTAATATAATAAATTTATTTGTTTTTATTATTATTATTTTTTAAGTAAAAAAAATTCTTATCTTCCTTTCGAAAAATAGAAATATACCTTTTTTTGATATTTGATTGGACTATTTTTGTAAAAGATCTTCTACTTACATGAATTAATTGTGATTACAACATATTCGTCATTTAGTAATCCCGAACAGAAAAAAGAAATTTCTTATAATTTACATTTTTGGGGGTTACATTGTCATGGTAGTACATACTAATAATTGGCTAATTTCTGGCGTATCTATTTTTGATTAATAAATTTGGTAAAATTTATATCACCCATAAATAAATAAAATTCTTTTCTTAGCTTATTTTTTTTAGCCTAAAAAAAAAAAAACCTGCCAAGATGTCATTGATAATAACTGGATTATGATATCTTTTAGCCTTGTCTTTCCATACATGTTCATGATTTAAACTTTACCGATAATCAAGTGTAACTTGTGACAATATTTAGGAAAATCGTTATAACAAATATAAATAGTCTATGAAAAAATCGTGCGATTTTTTTTTTTTTTTTTTTTTTATTAAAAAAAAAGTATTAACAAAAAAAAGAGAGTAAATAAATAAAAAAAGTTAAAAGTTTATATAATTTATAATTTTATATAATGGCAGAAAGACAGGATACAAATCCATTTTCATCGGAAGATTCTAATTCTAATATTCATCTTCCACCTAGTGCATATCAACCAAATCCGTTCCCTATTAATCCAACAGAAGGGAATCCTTGGGCTTCTTCAGCCGCTTATCAACAACAACCATATCAAGGTCATGCTAATAATAATTCATCTTCAGCTTATGGTTATAATAATTCATCGGATAATGGGACACAACCTACTTATATACCTATGCCAAGTCCAAGTACTTACAAGTCTAGTAATAGTTCATATGATTATACAAATGTGTATAATGCTCAAACTCATAATCCTAATGCGTATAGTACGAATATTGGTTCGGAAGTTAATGCTTACGAAGATTCTAGTAATGCTTCACAATTAGATAATGGTAATAAAGAAGAATATGATAATAATACTACTGAATTAGAGAATTCTGCTGCAATTGCTAATCCTGGAATTGAAACTCATGATCCTGATAAAATGAAGATTTCTTCTCAAAAACTTGAAACTCCTTTTAGTGCTCCTAATAAATGGAGATTATTATCTAGGTTTATTCAATTTCTTGCTAGTGCTGGCGCTTTTGCATTTATTGTTGCTTCGACTCCTGTAAGTACCATTTTTTTTTTTGATCGTAAAAGGTGATGAAACTAAAAAGTTATTATTAACCAAATTAATTGTTATTATTATTATTGTCAATTTTTAGGTTACTAAAGTACAAATTCCAGTGAATTTCAACAAGATAGCAATCATCTTCCTTTATATTGTCTCTGTTGTTTCGGTCATTTACTCATTTGGTCATTTAATATTTTATTGTGTCCGACGTTGGGGACATAAAAATAAAGCACCAAGATGGTTATTAATGCTTGTTGATGCTATAATTGGTGCAAGTTTTGGTACTTTAATGGTATTTTTAATTAAGGATGGTAATTGTAAACCTGGGGGTTTAAATGGATGGTATGTAATAAAGAATTTATATAATAATAATCGTAATAATCGTTTAAAGTATAACTAAAATTAAAAATTAAATTTTTTTTAGGTGTGATTTCTATAATACCGCCATATTTTTCACAGTTTTATCTTTCGTCACGTATGCCATTTCATTTGTATGGGATATCGTTGGTGGATTTAAAAGAAAATCTTAAAAAAAGATCACGGGTTTGGTACATTAACAATTTACGAAGGACGAATATAGAAATCTTATTAATAATTGTTAACCCATATTTTTGAGATATATATTTCTCTTTTTGATATTTTTTTTTTTTATTTTTTTATATATTGTTTTTCTTAATTGTTTTAAACATTTTAAAATTACAATGTATTATAAATGTATATTTTTTAACAAAAAAAACCATGCATATATATCATTAACATGTATTATTTGACCAAAATGAAAATTCGATCACGTGAAATAACTGGAAAAAAACAGCATAAATATAAGCATTCACTAATTCAAACCATCATATTTTTTTCATTATTTATTTTATAATCTTTTTATTTTTTTTTTAAAAAAAAAAAAAAGTTTGAAAATCATGTCATTTACAATTTCAATATTACAGATAGTTTGGAAATTATATATTACACATAACATTAAAAATAATAATCTTTTCACAAAGTATATTCAAGTATATTCAAATTCTTTTGAATATTAAAAATATTAAAAAGATTAACAGCTTTATATTCTACCAAAACCTATCATCATCACCACCATAATTGCTGTCAATACATTGATGTTCCCTTTCAATAGAGAGACCCGATGACAAACTATCTAATAGAATTATGATAGAATAGAAATAATTAATATTATAATATATAGTTTTATTATTAAATAATTTATAATAATTTTCTTTTAAAAAAATATACAACAGTTATGAATTTTAGCTTCAAATAAGGTTGGTTAACATAAGTAATGATTTTATTTATTGTGAAAAAATTGATATAACAAAATTAGAGGTATTTAAATTTTAAATTATTGAAGTTAATAATAATTGAAACTTACTAGTATTTTCTTATATTGAGAAATATTTAATTAAATATTATTATATATTAAATTACAACCTTTAGTGGTTGTAATATTATAAATATAAGCTGTAAATTACTATACTATTGTGGTTAGTTAAAAGATGACAATTCTGATTTACAACCATTATATTTATTTGACTTTAAACCAAATAAACTAGAAATTAATATAAATTATATAAAATATTAAAAAATATGGATTTTTTTTTTCAAAATATATTCAGATTTTTTTTTAAATTTATATTTTATTAAAACCTATTATATATATTGTTTTTATTATTTTTATTAATAATTTCTTATTAAAAAATATATAAAAGTATTTATAAATTTTAATTTTATAAATAGTATAAATAACTTTAAAAAATTAAATAGTATAGATAATATTAAAAATTAATTGACTTTTTTCTTAAAGTATATCTGATATATTTTAATTTTGAATATTAAAAATATTAATTAAAAGATAAAAAAATAATTACCCTATTTTTATTTATTAAAATCTATTATATTTTTTATTAAACAATTTATAATAATTTCTTTGTAAAATATACAAAAACATATAAATAATCCTAAAATTAAATATTTTTTAAAAAAATCACTATACAGAAAAATTGAAAATTGTTATATAATAATTTTTATCAATTATTTATATTTTTATTAAATAATTTATAACGATTCCTTTTTTTTAAAATATATTATTTAAAAATTTTAATTTCACAAACAACTTTATTGATTATAAATTATATATAATATTAAAAATATAAATTTTTTTTTTTAAAAAATATATTTAAAATTTCCTTGCAATTTTTATTTTATAATATTTTATTAATAATATTTATAAATTTCAATTTTATAAATAGTATAAATAACTTTGAAAATTATCTAAATAGTATAGTTAGATTATATATAATATTCAAATTTTTTTTTGAATATTAAAATTATTAATATAAAAAAATAAAAAGATATTAACTTTTTTCATCAAAATCTATTATATTTTTATTAAATAATTTATAATAATTTCTTTCTAAAATATAAAAAAAAAAATCAGTAATAAATTAATTATAATATTAAAAATTATGGATTTTTTTTTCTTTTATATTGAGAAATATTTTTAATTAAATATTTTTAACATTATTATATATTGAATTACAATTTTTGGCAATTATAATACTACAAATATAAGCTATAAATACTATATTATTGTGATTACTAGTTAAAAATTAGTAGTTTTAATATAACCATTAATCCATTATAATTACTTAACTTTTGAATTTACAACTATTTATGAAAAGCAACATAAATTATATATAATATTAAAAATATGGGCCTTTTTTAAAAAAATATTAAAGTATATTCAGATTTTTTTTTATAATTTATATTTTATTATTTACTTAACTTTTGGATTTACAACTATTTATAAAAACCAACATAAATTATATATAATATTAAAAATATGGGTCTTTTTTTAAAAAATATTAAAGTATATTCAGATTTTTTTTTATAATTTATATTTTATTAAAATCTATTATTTTCTTATTGAAAAATGTATAAAAGTATAATTTTTATTTAATTTTATAAATAGTATAAATAACTTTAAAAAATTAAATGATATAGATTATAATAAATAATATTAAAAGTTAATAAACTTTTTCTTAAAGTATATATTTTTAAAATATTAATATAAAAAGATAAAAAAAATAATAATTTATTTTATCAAAAATTATTATATTTTTATTATAATTTAAATAAAATTAAATTGAAATTTCTTAGAAGAATTAAAATGCTTATTTCTTCATATTCAAATCCTAAAAAAAGTGCTTTAAAAAATTTAATGTGGCAAATTTTTAATTATAATCTTAATTCAGCAGAAGAAATTGAATAGTTGCATATAGCCAACAGAAACTTTGGTGATTTTTCAAAACAAATTTCTGGATAATATTAAGAAAACAGGTTTCTTAGAAAAATCAAAATACTTATTTCTTTATATTTAAAATTCTGAAAAATGTACTTTAAAAATTTAATATAGCAAATTTTTAATTATGATCTTAATTTAAGAAAAAAAATTGAATAGTTGTATACAGTTAGTAACAGAAACTTTAATGATTTTTCAAAACAAATTTCTGGATAATATTAAGAAAACAGTTTTCTTAAAAAAATTAAAATGCTTATTTTTTTGTATTCAAAATCCTGAAAAATATACTTTAAAAATTTAATATGGCAAATTTTTAATTATGATTTAATTTATTGAATAATTGTATACAGCTAGTAACAGAAATTTTAGTGATTTTTCAAAACAAATTTCTGGATAATATTAAGAAAACAGTTTTCTTAGAACTTATTTCTTTGTATTCAAAATCCTGAAAAATATACTTTAAAAATTTAATATGGCAAATTTTTAATTATGATTTTAATTTATTGAATAATTGTATACAGCTAGTAAAAATTTTAGTGATTTTTCAAAACAAATTTCTGGAAAACAGTTTTCTTAAAAGAATTAAAATGCTTATTTCTTTGTATTCAAAATCCTGAAAAAAATATACTTTGAATAATTGTATACAACTAGTAACAGAAATTTTAGTAATTTTTCAAAACAAATTTCTGAATAATATTAAGAAAATAGTTTTTTTAGAACTTATTCCTTTGTATTCAAAATCCTGAAAAATGTACTTTAAAAATTTAATATGGCAAATTTTTAATTATAATCTTAATTCAGCAGAAGGAATTGAATAGTTATACATAGCCAATAGAAATTTTAGTGATTTTCAAAACAAATTTCTGGATAATATTAAGAAAACAGTTTTTTTAGAACTTATTCCTTTGTATTCAAAATCCTAAAAAATATACTTTAAAAATTTAATATAACAAATTTTTAATTATAATCTTAATTCAGAAGGAATTGAATGGTTGCACATAACCAATAGAAATTTTAGTGATTTTCAAAATAAATTTCTGAATAATATTAAGAAAACAGTTAATGAATTTAAAAAAAAAGGATTTAGTAAATATAGATTAGTAATAAAAATTAAACAAAATATTCTGGATTTTTACTAATTAATTTATTTTATTTATAGAAATAACCTTTCTTTAGAAAGTGAGATAATTTAAATAATTTATAACAATTTTTTTTTAAACTAGTCATCAGTAAATTTTTTAGACCATAAATCTTTAAGAATTCTTTAATTAAATTGCTTTAATTTCTTCAAGGATTCCTTAATTAAAAATTGCTTTAAATTTTTTAAGGATTTTTAATTTTATAAATTCTTTAAATTCTTGAATGAATTATAAAAGTCTCTAAGAATTCTATAAATTACCAAATCCTTAAGGATTTTTATATAGAAAATTTTTAAATATTCTTTAAATATAAATTTAAAAATTTTTTTAAAATTATATATATAATTTATAATTCAAATTGCTTTATTAAACTTGTATTTTATATACTTTATTAGATGTTTAGCATATTTTTGATATATTAACAATATTTAACTAATAATGATTTGCAAAAATATATATTTTTTAAATTTTAAAAATATATTAATATTTTGGATCATTTTAATGCTTACCAGAGGTGAAATTCACCAAAGGTGATTTTTATATCACGTGATTTATAATTATTATATTAAAATTCGTTTTTAAAAAAAATACAATTTTTAATATGATATTATGTAATTAAAAATACAATAAAAAGTACAATAAAAATGAATAAAAATATGTAAAATTTTCTCCCCTTTCTAATGAATATTTTATTATGATTATTGAGTAAAAATTAATCAAGTTTCATTAGAAGCAATGAATTAAAAAAAAATTATTCAGAAAAGACTTTATTTTTTTCTCCAAACCTCCCACCCACCTGCAGACAGCAGTTCTTTATATAGTTTTTTAATTCCCCCTTAATGATGCATTGTAACATTGTACAATTTTGCATTCACTCTAATTAAGTAATAAGTAACGCAATTCAATGATTAATTAGTAATGCGCATATATAGATTACTATAACAACTATTGGATAATCAAATAATCTAACAAACTTATACTATATCATATGTTGATTTCGCATCTACTCTATCTACTCTCTACCATTTGGACATCTTTTCTGATAATGACCTGGTTTTCCACAAAGACCACATTTTCATTGTAATCTTGACGTTATATCACTATCATTACTTTGTTGAATATTAGTTTAACTTGTAATGTCATGTATCACACTCCTTCCTGAAATCTCTATAGCACTTTTTATTCTTTTTTTACTTGGAGCTCCTCGAATTTTAGTAACATATAGATTTGTAGTTTGATTAATCAAATTCTCCTGTAAAGAAACAATTTGACTATTACTTTCCACAACTACATTAATAA